AATAAGACTTTAAAAGGTTGGCCATCCCTGGTGTAAATCATGAAAAATACAATAGTAATAATAATTACTATTATATAATAATGAATCTGAGCACTTTAATCACTTCTGGAACACACAAAAGGTCATACTTAGATATTTGTTGAATGAATTGACGTATAAATGAGTTATATGAAAAAGAAAGGACTGTTGAACTCTCCAACATGAGAAGAAGAAAAAGTATCAGAAGAAGAGAATTTCTCTAGTTTGGAACAATCAAAGCCAGTTTTTAAAATGTCTGAGGGCTTTAAAATATCTGAAGGTTTGTTTTCTCTGGATTACAAGGCAATGTAGGACGTGTTTCAGTACCTCGGATAGCTCCAGGGTGGCATGCTTTCCAAAGTCTCAAAACTACTTAATTATTTGTTTCTTCCAACTGGAATCATACTGTTAAAAGGTTCCACCATGTCTATGCCTGATTAATTCCTCATAACACATAACTCCTCTGCCTCATCCCCATCCCAAAGTGGATCTATAAGTGCAGCCTATTTGTCAAAATGGAGTAACTTCTGTTCCGAATATACCTGCCAATTTAGAAAACTGACCTAAGGAGGCTTACCACTCACTATGTGACAAGTCATCCTAATAAGGGCTCTCTCCTCCACTGATCAAGAGTAAGTAATTTACCTGCAGGATCTGATAAAGAAGCTATCTGAAAGTTGGGAGTAATATATATTACAAAAATATAATCTAGTATTTTACATTAAAATCAATAAATCTCTTAGAGTGAACAAAAACTAGGAGGTATGATAGACATTGTGAAAAAAGGGAAAATGCTCAAAAGTAAAGGGCAACTGGGGTGTGGGAAAAGAGAAAGAAGGGGAAATTATGTACACACACACACACAGGATAGCTAACATAGTTGTGCTACTGTCTTCTATTGTTTTACTGAAAGGAACAGTTAATGATTACGTGTTTGATCAATCTTTCATGTCTCTGTTTGTTTTCGTGAGAAACCACTTTGAAGATATCAATACGTAATACAACAGCCATTGTTAATTTCCTACCTCTTTGTAACTCTGTATTGCTTGTATTGTTCTTATGCTATTTTGTAAATGGATGTCTGTTAATGTTTTCCTTCTTTCATTTATTAAAATAAATTTTAAAAAAAACAACACTCTGCTGAATAATGTTAACTCTCCATAAGCATTTGCATAAATGGCACAAGCTGCACAAGAGACATGACTATAAAATAAACATGATTACTAAACAACAAGAACAAGAAAGTAAAAAGACATTATTGGCTGTGCTTAAATACAGAGCTACGGAACTAAAGTAAAATACCGGAAAACAGGAGGTACTCACTTTTACTATTCTACTTCCTTTGCTTTCCTATAGTCTCTAAACATTTTTGTGTTTCTATGCTGTAGCATTTTATTTTGGGGATGGATACTTATTTGCACAACTTCAATGGTTTAGATAGTAAATTCCTTAAGAAGAGGAACCATATTTTAGTTATCTTTGTGTCATTCATAATAGGTAACATTATCCTGGATATGGTAAGTACCCCCAAACTGTTTATTGGATGAAACTGAATTGAAATAACTCATATCAGGTTCACAAAACTTTTGTTCTCAGAGCAGTATGAATGAGATTTACCTAATCTTGTTGCTGCACAGAGGAAAATGAGGAGTTGTTTCTGACATTAAACATAACAGAGATTGGGGCCATCTAAAAATACTTACCTCATAAAGAACCCTGTGAAAGGAGGTAATACAAACCAAGACCTTCAGAGAGATCACTGCAGGTTCAACTTATGTCTCCTACTCTAGAGCTGTATTTTTACTTTTGTGTGTGTGCACTTCCATTAGCTTCCATTTTTATTAGTACATACAAGTTTACAATACATAGTGATTACACTCATGGGGGAGTGTTAGTATACGTACAGGACACATCTTATTTTTTTTATTTCTCCTTTCCCTTCCCACCCTCCCTCCATCTGTCTCTTCCATCTTTACAAAGAAAAGCCAAATAAAATATAAAGAAACAGGGAGATATATCTTTTGTCAATAGAAAGGGTATCAAAAGTCTAAGGGTGGGGGAAAGGAGGAGGGGAATGGAATGAAAAAGGAATTAAGATGCATTAGGCATATATACCAACCACCATCAGTGAATATAATCTTACTATGTTACAAACATGAACTAATAATAAATAATGATTTAATAATGCAAATGGGGAAGGGGGATCTCAAGATGGAGAGAGGGAAGGGGATAGGGAGGGTAAGGGGAATATAAGGAATCAAGATATGTTCAGTATATGTACCCACTCCCTAAGATGCATGCAAGCATCGGGTACTCCAAACACATGAGTAAAAAAGAAAACTGCAAATGAATGAATAAAGAAAATGTTGTATTTATACACAATGGAATACTACTCTACTATAAAGAAAGATAAATTTGAGCCATTTATAGGAAAGGAATGTACCTTGAGACAATAATGTTCAATGAAATAAATCACACCCACACGCTTAAACATCACATAATTTCTCTTACATGAGAAGCTTGAAGTATAAATAAAACTATATTTTTAAATCAGCAAAGATTGTATTACAAGAACCCAAGAAGAAAGGATAAAAAGAGTTGATCTCTATAAAGTTGAAAAAAGACTCCTCAGAAGGAAAGGAGAAAAGAAAGGAAAAGAGGGAAGGAGAAAGTAAAGAGGAGGGGGAGGAAGCAAAGGAAGGAGGGAAAGAAGAAGGAAGACATGACTTGGTGGTTATAGAATCAGTGCAATTTTATCTCAGTGGTAGTAAGAGGGTTGGTAAAAGCACCATCACCTCAAAATCTCACAAGTAGAAAATAAGCTCATTCTTGGTGTCTGTAGATAGACTTTACTGCACAGAATAAGGGAAGAATAGAGGAATAATAGTTGCATAAATTTGTTTTCATTTGTGTTTCTTTAAGAACGTCTTAAGTGGCTCAGTGAGACTTTTCAGGAAGAACTAATTTAAATTGCTTGCAATAGTTTCTTAATTTAAATTACTCCAATAATCTGTAGAGTTTCTCAAGAAAAAATTACATTTTCAGTCTACTTTTACCAATTTTACCAATTCTGCCAATTTTTATTCTTCTATAAGTTTTTATTTTGCATGTCATTATCCAGTGCTTTAAAATAGTTATTAAGAATTTGGGGCACTCACTTTGTAAATTCAAGTGTCGCTGAGTGAGGTTAATTTTCAATTCAGCAGGTTTTCCATTTCACTGGGAATCAATTCCATCAAATGTTTCTATTCTAGCATTTAGAACACCATCCTACAAGGTCTCCAGTCTCACTTTAACACTAAAATTATGCAACATGAATCCAAATTTCTGGAGAAGTAACTCTGCTAGCTGGATCCACTTTATTTTCCTCCCTATATGCAAAGAATGCTTCATTTTTCTGTCCTGCTGAAAGGACAGCTAATCCTTACATTTTAAGAAACAGAATTTCAGAGCATTTGTTGCCAAGATCCTCACTATAATATAGCTAGAACAACCCCTTGTGAGCACTATTTAGGGCTATTTCTAATTGAGAAATGATTATTTATAGGCTATTCACTGAATATCAAAATGTCATATACTTAGGTTTTCATACTACATATGAACAGAAGCCTGCAAATTAGAGAGGTATAAGACCCGGAAACATCAATGGGCCTTTTCACCCAGCTGATCCTTTAGCATCAGTCTGTATTTCCCACTTTTGTTGTCTGTAGAATTAGAAATGTATGGAAGGATGATTTCAAAGCCTAGGTTTTAATCTGGGCTGGAAGTTGTAACAACCTCCACAAACATCTGGCATGTCCCAGTCTTTCAGTGGGTGAGAATAATCTAAGGGTTGACCTACAGCCAGGATGATAGAATCTTCAAAGCTGAGGTTTAAGCTCAGGACCATAAGGAGATGATATTGCCAAAAGCAGGCTTAAAACAAATTTAAGTAACATAATGTCTTACTAAACCCTAACCTAAACATCAGTATTAAGTTTTTTCTAATCTGTGAAATCAAGCTACTGTTTTAAAAGTTTAAGTGGTCAGTTTAAAAACAACCAAAACTTTAACAATGGTGGTAGTGTGACATGACATAGAACACATTAGAATGAAAATTGGGAAATTCTGAATTATTTATTCCTGTTTTGTTTCTTCAGCCACATACTATCAAGAGACTTAACCCCCCTGGGCAGTGGGCTTCTATTTTGTCATGTGAAAAACAAAGAACTAGGACTCAAAAATAACTGTATTTACTTCCAGGAATAAATTGGCATTTCATTAAGTTTGAACTTCAATCTGTCTTCTATTTGAACACTTATAAAAAGAAATAAAGCATTCTGTGTATTTAACACATGTGTTCTAGGTTTTAGAATTTACACTCTAGTTTCTCATAAGATTAGTGTACTTTTCCTTTTCTTTTAAAATAATAACAGATGACAGGGATGAGCACAATAACACAAATAAATGAAAAGTCAACCAGTTCCAGTTGCATTTCTTCCAAACTCCTGCAAGGGTATAAGTGGAGGGTAGGCGCCAACCTGGCAGCTGCTTGCTTAAGGAATGCCAGGAAATTCCATCACAGCTCCTCTGAGCAGAACATATCAGCAGCAGGGCACTAGTATGTGAGCCTTCTGCATCACACATCAGAAAGGCCAGATCAGAGTGTGGCATAGGCTGCCAGGAATTGGATTTAGATTGTTAAAACCACAAAGGACAGGAGTCCTGCCTTTTAGTTTCCACTGCATCTCACGATTCTACAACCCACGTTAAGACTAGAGTCAGCCCGCCCTTCATGCTGTGGCGCTGCCCTGGCAGCCATGAGATCCTAGTGAACAGGTTACAAGACGATACTGAAGCAGCCCGAAACATTCAGTAACATGAGAAATGAAAGTAGCGCAAGAAAATCTCACAAAGTTCCAAGCACTAAGGAGGTCATAATCCCTCATTCCAATCTAATTTTAGCCCAGTAAGACACATTACTTTTCTTAGAGTAGAACACGTTAGAGTTTGAGTGATGGCAGTTTAGAGGAAATCAGAATATTAGAAGTTTACCCTCAAGGAACAAGTGTAAAGAATATCCTACAGAAAAGGTGACAAATATATGCCATTTCCATGTTCTCGTCACACACTAGACAGTACTACAGGAGTCATCTTTCCTGTAGAACCAGTCTCACAGCCCTGCAAGCTTCCTCATCTGGGAGTCCTTATCCATTGACCAGAGTTGGCCTGAGAAAGAAAATCTGCTTGTTATCTGTCTTACAAGAGAAAAAACAGGTAAAAATCATGACAACCTCCTTATTCTTAGAACTCCATCACTCAACACCATAGGGCAAAATTGCTTTATATCTCTGGACCTTATTATCTCACATAAAATCTCCAGGTGAGGGTTAGCTATCTTTAAGTGTCCTTTGTATATCCTAGCTCTAAATATTTGTAATTGTAAATATTCATGAATAACTCAGCAAAACCATGACAATCCCATAGCTCTAGGAAGTGGTTACTTGTGGAAGTCATAACACATCATCATGTTTTCCCACAGGACAGAGCTGCAGATATTAATTACAAGATTCTCTGTCCAACAGTGCTCATTGAAGCCAAGAGTTACATCATAGTGCTTCTCCTTTACAGATGAGGATCGTCAGAGTGGTTAACTGATATGCATAAAATCATGTAGGTAAATCTGCCTACCCAGCTTGTGATTATGAACATCAAGATTATTCAAAATAAGTGTTATGGGGTTTAGAGCATAATCATAAAATTGTAGACATAAATCGATTGACAAGTCAATACCTGTCTTTAATCACTATTGGTCCCAGGCTCTCTTGATTCTCAAAACTTGAACAATTTTAGGTCCTGATAGACATTCTTTGTTGTTTTTGTTGTTAATTTCTAAGGTCTCTTGCTCAGTGAGAACGTCTATTTTTTCTATCCTTTGTTACTTGAATTTTGCAAGCTTTCCAATTTTGAATCCCTAAGATGTGCATCAGTAGGCTGTGTACTTGGCCTGTCACATCATAACAATGCCACAGAAAACCTCACCTAACATAAATGCTACAGAATCCCAAAGTCAGTCATTCACTGTGACATTTTTGTTCAGTGTCTTTTACCTATGTGTGGTTCTTGTGTTTGCAGCCTTAAGTAGAAATTTTACTCTCTAAAAATATCATAATACACCGGAACATAATATTAATATGTCTATGTAGGTTTCGCTGTCTAATCATGAGTCCAGTTTTCAAGTGATTAATACTGGTTTGGTAGTATAGAAATGGGAGATACTTCAGATTGTGTATGACATGTAATGAATATAAATTCTGTAAGTGAACCTGTACTGATGCCATTATAATCTAGAACCATCATAGCAATGCAGACAAAATGAGTTAATGCCCCTGATATTTAGAATAGGTGAGTGTGGATAGAGATTTGAACAGCCAGATTTAAATTCCATCCGTAACTCTAACATTAATGTTACAAGCTTGCACTGTTTTCTTCATTTCCTTGGGCCTCAACTGTAAAGGAGAAAGCTCAACTTGATTTCTAGCATCACATTTGTAATTACCATTTTATGACTAACATTGTCACAAGTGGCCTCTGATACTCCCCCCCTCCCATGGGCAGTAGCTTTCCTGAGTAGTTACATAATTCTAAATTTAATTCTAAATGTGGCAGCACATATCAGCCCCTGATTTAGTGCTCATCCAGGAAGACTCACTGGCAATCTGGCAGGCACAGCCTTCTGCTCTGTAACTCATCCCAAACACCTCTCGGTGATAGTAACAGCACCTCCTACTACATGAACACAAAACTTCTCATCTCCATCTTAAGTCTGAGCTTCACTCCTTCACTCTGCAAACTGAAGAACCTACTGTCTCCGGTTTCCTTAAATGTAAAGGGCCAGGCCAGCTGTCTTAAATTTAAAGAAAATAAAAACTTCATGAAGTACTTGGGAAATGCTTACAACTTCACAAAGCACAGCACTACGAACCAAGAAGAGATTGTAGAGATGTTCACATTTTTCAATTCTAGTGATGTTTGGTTTTGTTGCTTGTTTTCATCAGTGCTAGCACTCAAACTCAGAGCCTCTGGTATCGAAGGGAAGCATCAGGTTAGAGTTATAACCTGAGACCCAGAGAGGCAGGAATGCCAGGATTAGATCCAAACGTTCTTGCATTCCAGGTCTGTGTGTTCACAAGAGACAATATGAAAGCAGAGGAAGATGAAGTGTTTTTACTATCACTAGATTTTGATAGGTGGTTATTCAACAAAAACTCTTTTGTTAACATCCAGACTAAAAACTTTTAATATCTCTACATTTTTATTATCACAGTGAAGCAGTAGATTATAACGTAGGATTATTTGCTCTGCAGCTGAAAATTACTTCTTTGCATTTCATTTTCTCTTCTGTAAAATATCTTCATTAAATCAGTTTTGCAAGTTAGAGCGCAATAACTAATGCACTGTCACTCACACTATGTCTTCACACAGTGGTGAATCAAACGGTAAAGCATCATTTAATGGTCACAACAAATTACTACAAATCAAAACGCCTCTTTATTGTGGCCAAGCCCTATGATGTACTCTCAGGATGATGTTCTAAGATCTAAAAGGGTCATGAGAACTCTCACAGGAGACACTATTCCTATAAAGGCCCTCAAGGACATGATGGTTTGTTTGCAGAGCTCTTGGAATCACCTTTCATAGCAACATTGCTGGGGATTTGAAAAGGCAACAGATTTGTTAAAATCTATTTTAAAAAGATAAAAGTAGTGCAACTATAAGATGTTCTTATTTTCTGAACTAATGGTACCAAATATGTTTCAAACTTATCACTTCCTGATGGCGATGTAGAAATTCTGAGAACATTAATCTAAATATACTTCTTAAAATGGAGATGGACAAGTTATAAAACATCACCTGGAAGAGGTATCAGTCAACATAAGATCCAACTATGTTACAAATATATCTTAGAGTCCACCTCTACAGAAAGCTTTTCATGATTTTTAAGGTACTCTAATAGCCCAAACTTTTGGTCCACAACTGATAGCAAGCAGCCTAACAATCTGCAGAGATGGCTCCATTTGCTAGTTCCGTCACTTTGTGTGTATACCACTCAGAATAAACTTTTCATTTTATTGATGAGAAAGTGGAACCCAAGAAGGCATGTGGCTTTTGCTGAAAGTAAAAAGCAAAAGAGAAGCTGAGAGTGGATTAGACTGCACACAGGCAGGCTTCAGGCTCAATGCTCTTCCGAGGGGCAGAGTGATTTCGTTTTACCTTACAGAAGAGTCAGCCTAGCAGGGCTCAGGACTAGGACAAACCACTCTCTCTTTGCAGGCACCTACTGTGGTTCCTTCACATTCACAAAGGAATTTGTCCCCATCTTCATGTTCTGCTTTACTTTACTTGTTAGAATAGCTTTTTAAATGATTTTCTTCATTCATGACATTAAAAAATACCATTTAATTGAGCTCTGTCCCCAGGATTGGTTAAGATGTTTTAAAATATGGTTTCATATACAAGACTATATGTTGTTGTTCTACTGTTACCAAACATATTCATAATTCTCTATGCCTTTCCCAATAGTTTAGGCTCTGATTTTCACATGTAGTGTCTTTAACCGAGATTCACAAAAAGATAAAAGGTATGTTAGCTTTAATTCATTCTACTAAGATGTTGACGGTTTTCCCTTCACATACAGATCACTAAAAATGTTCTCCTGAAGCTAGTTCAAGTGGTTTTTTTTGTTGTTTGTTTGTTTTGTTTTTTGGTTTTTTTCCGGTACCAGGAACCGAACTCACGACCTTGCGCTTGCCAGGCAAGTGCTTTGCCGCTGAGCTAAATCCCCAGCCCCAGTTCAAGTGTTAATAAGGTATTCAATGAAAAATCAACCTAGGAATAGGAGGCCAGAGAGGAAGAACAATTTTTTTGTCTTTGTTTCAAAATAGTGATCTGAACTTCTTATTTCAAGTCAAAAGAGAATAAAATCCTGGAACTGAGTCACAAGCTATCTGCTCAGATTCTGCAGCGCCATCACATATGCAGTTATAAGATGGTAAGTGGGGCTATGGTTTGCTCCAGCTTGAGCTCATAGTTATTTTCAGAGGTTAAATTTTATATATATATTCAAAAGTTAAGTAATCATAGGTCTTATACACATTTATTACACATGAAATAATGTAAAACATTCTTCAAAACTTCCTAGCAAGCTAAGCAGCTGTACAACAAACAATTAAAATACATAAATGGAGCATAAAGGAAATCCATTGTTTATTGTGGTTACTCTTGCTAAGGACACAGAGATTACATCATTTATTATTTTATCCGTTATGTAGTGAGTTTCCCATCATCAACCCCCAACCACGTATTTTGAGAGAGCTGCCTCAATTCTGCACATAGAACCAACATTGAATATTTATTGAAGTAAAGGGAAATATAATTAAAAGTAATGATGATACAAACTAGCATTCACAGAAGGCTTACTAGAGTTCAGACAATATATATGACTTAAATAATTCTTGTGACAATGCCACTTTATTAGTAAGAAAATTAGTCTTAAAGAGTTTAAATAACTTTTTCAGTTATCTCTACAAGTCATAAGTGCAAGTCACAAGCTGGCATTTCAGGTCCCCCTAACTCAAAACACACATTCTTAATATGAGTCCATATTTTCCTACAATGTAATCTTTCATTAATGACTTTCATGAGAATATTCCTGTGGTCCATCATCAAGAACAATAATCGTCATCGTGAAGACATTCAGAATTACAGTGAGGAAACTACTGCTGACAGAGTGCTAGGTAACCGAATTTTATCACGTCAAGTTTTCATAAGCACTTATCTTTAATGAAAAATCAGAAAAATTTTGCTGAATAGAATTTGACAGTAAGATAGCCCTAGAACCAAAATTTCTTAAAACAAAACTTTATATCTAGCCTTTTCCTACACCGGATATGTATTAAATGATTAGGCTTTTCAGCATTACCAGAGCCATTTGAATTTTTCAAAGAATCATCATCTTTTGAATTTAACTTCAAATAATATAACTTTAGACTAAAAGATTATTTTTGTAAACCTGCCCAAGCCTAAATTTTAATTTTGGGGAAATATAAAAGAAAATATGGCCTAAATAAAGTTTAAAAAAAGTACAAGTTTATCAGATGCAATTAGGATTATTTTTTAATTTTCATTTTAAATAAGTTGTGCGTACTTGATACTATTACTTGGTTTTATGTTTCTATAAAAACTTCACTCTCCAAAAGCAAGAGACAGAAAATAATATAAATATTCAATAATAAGTAACAGTAAAAATTATGAAACATCCATATCTTAGTGTAACCATTAAAAATTATACCAAAATAAACTGGGCATGATGTCATATGCACATAATCCAAGCATCGTGGAGGCTAAAGCAGAATGATCCCAAGTTTAAGCCCATCCTGGACAACTTAGTGAGACCCTATACCAAAATAAAAAGTTCTTAAAAGTTTTAATGTTGAAAAAAAGAACTAGGTATATAGCTCAGTGCAAAGAACTTCAGTTCAATTTCCAGTTCTAGGGAGAAAAAGAGACAAAGAATTCCATGGCATGTGAAAGTTTTAAAATTGACTAGCAAAATAAAAATAATTTAATAAGCATTTATAGTATGATAAAATTTTAGGTGTTTGTGTATAGGGGTTAAAAAATCCTAAATGAGTAGAGTTCAAAATGAACAGAACACTTATTCAATGGTAGAAGGAGGATTTTTTCTTTTTTTAAACTAATTTTTATAATGCAAAAATGTACTCTAACAGTACTTGCCTTGATTAGCTTAGTAACTGTCTCCAAATGTAATACAGAAGTTATGCACACAAGTTTGCAATACTGCCTGGATTCAAAATCTGACTCTATGTCATTAACTATGTAACTTTATCTAAATTACCTAAAACTCGGTGCCTCACTTTTCTGATGTGTAAAATAAGAAGAATGTGCATTTCTACATTGTTCAACCATTGTGAGAATTACATGAGTTTATAAATATAATTAAAATAATGCCTGGCATGTAGGACTCAATATATGCTACTACAGCATGGGTATCACACCAATACATCTATGGACAATCCTTTGGACCCGTTCCTAGGCTTGCCATAACCTTTTGTTGTTAAAAAAGCAAAACTAGCCAGGGATTTAGCTCTGTGGCATAAGTGCCTGCCTGGCAAGTGCAGGGTCCTGAGTTCCAACAAAACAAAACAAAAAGCAAAACTATTTGGTGATAAGGTAAGCAGTTTATTAAAGAAAAACAGAAAACATTCACATCATAATTTTTTATGGTTTTTTTACTTTCTACTAAAATTGAATCCTCCATCAAACCAAGCCTTCCTTCATCAAACTCAAGCCTAATGCAAGAGTACTGAACATGGAACGTACTTTTTCCTTGTTTATGTCTGTACCTCAAATAAAAAGGAAACTAAGTTTCTTTCAGAAAGTAAGGAGCAAGTACTCAGCATGCTGCTTCCCTATTGCTACCTCAAACCTAAAGCTCTAACCATCAAGAATATTCCTGGGTTTATAGTAGGCCTGCTTAAGTTAATTTTTCCTGCAAGAATGAAGTTATTTGATTTATCATGTTCTATAGAAACATAGGAAACTAAAAACATATGTTTCATAGTGTTAAACTGCTAAGTATTATTCTTTATATTTGGACCATAAGTTTCACAAGTAGTTCTAAAAAATGTTCTGAATGGGAGGTGAAGTTGCCTGACCAGGTCCCACAGTCTGTGGCTAAGCAGGAAATGACAGCAGAGAAATCCACACTTGATTCTACCTACCATGTGAGACTCTTCCCCAAAGAACATTCTTAAGGTCATTTCTTCAAAAAAGTGACTAAGTGTATGCAAACTGAACGGTCTCTTCTGTTTAACTTACATTAAATAAAATAAAAATAATGCAAAATTGTTTCCACCAAACATAGGAAGAAATTTTTGATTCAATTCTTAGAATCATTTTAAATCAAATGAAGTGATAGGAATTTTTCAAACAAATTTGGAAAGTATAAAACATACCTCAAATATGACATGTGATTGTTGCTACTGATGTCTTTCAAATCCTGTTTTACATTTGAGAAACTGTACCTTAATGAAGAGTCCAGAAAGGGACATCGGTTCCCTTATACTGTCTCTTATAACCCCAAGCACTGAAATAATATTACTGTCTCTGAACTGTATGTTCTGCTCCTCCGTCACTTCCTTTTCTCCATCTGAGCTGAGTATAGGTGGTAGTGGTAGGTGGGGCGGGGAGCGATCTTCACAGTTTCTTGCTCAGTTCTGTTCTATTAGTCAAAGCTCTTGCTCAGGGGAAAAAAAAAAAAATGCATTCCCTGGTGAATGTTTCAATGGTCAATCCTTGGAGGACAACTCCCATACCCAAACCTGGAACCCCTTGCATACTTCTGAGCCACAATCCCTTTCTTATTTCTCATTTGAATATTCCACCATTTCTCTAGTTTAAAATGCTTAGCATCAGAAGTACCACATTTCTTCACTGACATTTTAATGCAGATTTCAACTTTTTTATGAGACTCCGAAAGGCCAGCATGCATGCTCTGGTGGACTTATCATAGTGCCATGTAGGACACTGAATGAATAGAGTCTCTATTTTCTGTCAGTATTTAGCATTCCAATGAGACAAAAATGAGAAAGAAACAAAAAGTATAATGCAGGGAAAGATACTTGGTGATATTCACCTGATGTATAGAAGATTGGGGGCTTCCTTATGGGATGTCCTAACATCTTTGAGTATCTTCCTACATTCTAGAGTTCTTTCAGAGCTTGAGTCCAGTTTTACAGCCAGAAGATTCAAAGACTACCTCACAAAAGGGGCCAAAAACCAGGAAGAACGAGTTTTCTGGTAGGAACATCTGGGGAGGTACTTCCTTCCTCAGCTGATCCTGCCCTCACTGGTGCTAAGAAGCCATATGATTAGAAGGAAGTCCTGAAGTGTAACTAGATAGCCCCAGAGTCAATCTATTTGGCACCCACTCTGAAATACTAGGTGCTTAGTAATGATTGTTGCTACACTGCTTTTTCTGATTAAGCTAGTTTATGTGTATTCTGTAATTTGCAAGGGAAAGGTCTGTCCAACACGCATATGAGAACATTGAAATTCTAATTCTCAGGAGTACCAATAGACCACTAAGGAAAAGTGCTTGATTTCAGAAACTGTTGCATTTATCTTCACCCTCAGCCACTGTCCCACACCAGGCTACGTTTGTCACGCTTCAGAGCCAAATGAAATCCATGCTATATGAAAAGGGACTGCTGAAGTTCCAATGAGTAAGAATCTCAGTATATTTCCTTAATAAAGAGCAGTTAGTGTTTTTCTGAAAGAAGAATTTAGGAGAGTTAATATGCTGACAGGAAGTTATAAAGTTCTGCATTTTCCTTACTGCTGATGATAAAATAATAAAAGGGCAGCTCAAAGTCACCAATAATCAATTTGTTGTGGTTATGAATATAGCAGCAGGAGCTCTGGAATCAGAACGTATAAATTTGGGTCCCAATTCTATCACTCAACCACTTTTTCACCTTGAGCAAAACAAATTATATATTCATGCATTAGTTTCTTTATCTGTGAAAAACAATGATAGTATCTACCTCAAATGATTGTTGTAAATACTATATAACAAAATAGATGAAAGGTGATTAGTGGATTTTTCTAGCATATATGTACCACTCATTAAAATATTAGCCCCTATCAGTATTAATTGGGTTATTAGCAATTATGACACTGATGATGTCAAACTTGGAAGGCTTTCCAGAATTTAAACATTTCACTAAGGCATCCATGAAATCTCTATTTAATAGGGTCATTCAACATTAAAGATCTTAGTTATTCCAAAGGTCCTCTTTTGTTCTTTTAGAGAATTACTACTTTTGAAGCTAAATTGTCCACCCTCCTTGGCTGAGAAAATTGCACCTGGGGGTAAGTTGTCTGACTGAAAAGCTATGCAGCTCTGGATGGGCTGCTGTTTGCTTTGTGCCTGAAAACAGCTTTTCTACACCAGTACCCCTTTGAGAGCATTTTAGTCTCAGGTTAGAAGGACAGTGAGCTACTGCAATGGCATTTATAGAGGGCCTCGGAGTTTCCAAATATTCATTTCTAGCCAAGGTTTTCTGTTGGGGGCCATTTTTACTGGGTAAGGGAAAACAAATACTTGCCTTGGGATTGCTGGGCTCCAAGCATTTTGCAAATGTTTTTAACTAATATTTTTCTGGGAAAATAACATCTCCAGAAAATGTTAACTGAAAAAGTTAGCTGTTTGGCCACAGAGAAAACTGTTCAGTAAAAGCATAAACTTGCAAAGATAGTTGCAAATATAAATGTCGATTTTGTTGCCACTATAACAATGTGGATATGGTAGGTTTTCTTTTGATTAACAAACTTTGCTTTTTTTAACATCACTATCAACAGACAATGGTCACGAATTTTCTTGGGACTCATCATCCCTTACAAAATCTGATGAATACCCTGTACCAAGCCTTCAAAAAAAGACACCACCATAAACATATACCTATGGCTGTATAAAGAACACAGTCATGTGTGGTTAACAATCTGACAAATAAATGTCCGGTAAACAAACAAAATCCCCAATAAATTACTTCTTTTTTGGCATTCTATTAATAACAAACCTCCAGAAACTAGCATATTGGTTCTTTACCAAAATAATGATACCTAACGTTCATAATAATGATACTGGTTCCTTGAACTCCTTGAATTCCATCTAGAGATACTAGAGAGATTTGCTATTCAAAGCACAATCCTTGGGCTGGCAACATCAACATCACAAAGAATCCTGTTAGGCATAGGGATCCCCAGACTCCAATCCAGACTACTGAACCAGAGAATGTATTTTAACAAGATACTCAGCAGATGCATAGGCACATTAAATTTTGTGAGGCACTACTTTAGGTTTACAGAGAGCTAAGCACCTCTGATCTCAAAGATCTTTTCAATAGGTGAGTTACAAGATAAGTGAAAGTGTAATATGATCTTCTAGATGTCCCCAATGTAATGCGTACAAGCAAATACTGACTGAAGGCTAACTATTTATTCATTCATTGTTTCAAAAGATATTTATTGACTATCCATTCTGTGCCAGGCATTGCTGTACTCACTGAATGAAAGCCTTCTCCCTCATTCAAGACGGACAATACAGACAATAAACATAGATGCAGCAAATCATACAATCTGCAGATGACAATGAGTGAGATGAGCTAAAGTAGAGTAGGATGAAAATTTAAAGGAATGCTGTAGGGTGCTGCTTTTAAAATGCAGTGGCCAGGGAGACCTCATGGATTCAATGGCACTTGAGAAAAGGAGTGAAGGAAATAGCAAGTGACACCCGCACTAGTGTAAGTTCCAACAAAGAACAAAGCAAGGTGAACACCAAGAAGCAGGGAGATGCATTGAAGATCAAAGAGGAAGCTGCCCCCTACTACCATCCCACTAGAGCAGAAAAGCAGGGGAAGGTTGGAACCTGAGACGAGTGAGTGAGGTTGAGAGTGACCATACAAGTTATCCTAATCAGTGAACACATGAAAAAACATTAGGAGAGAGCCCTGGGGACACTAGGCCAGGTGCTGCACCCCCCTCCACTTAGCCATGGAAAGTCTCTTCAGGAAAAGGTAAGGTTTTGGAGGCTCTTTGAAATACAACTTACTGCCAGAAAAAAAAAAAATTTATTCTTCTTTCCTTTGGGTGGATTTAGGTTTAAAATATAGTTGCTAAGTATTGCTGGCAAAAACCAGATTCTGTTTTAGAAGGTCTGGCACATACTTGGCAGGCAACATACTACACTGGAATTAATAATCCTATCCCATGACTGACTATAATTCAGAGTCATATCTTGGCTACTTTTTTAGGCTTATGTTTGTAATTTTTTTTTTTTTTAACCACAGTTTGACAGCATGCTAGCCATCTTGCCTGAACATCTGTTTCAAGAACTCTTCCGCCTTTGGCCAGTGTGTGCTCTCATCTTAGCAGGCCAGATGACCACTGCCATCTCCGTAACACTGTGCATGCATACCTTGTGTTTCTAAGTCTATTCCAAGTTCTCACTGGGAGACGCAAGGTTTTGGTAACAAGGGAAATGTGCTCTTCTCCTTGCCACATGTAAACCACATGAAAGAAATTCTGACTGTACTGCTTAAGAAGTCATGCCAGAAACTGTAAAGATCAGCTCAGCCTACAAGTAACAGCAATCAGTTTGCATAACCTTTGTACATAAAATAATCTAATCCATGCTAATCTCTCTCCTTTATGGCAATGAAGATGCTACAATCACTCCTCACACAGAAATGCTTCAGTCAAATTAATGTTCCATGTCGGTTCTATCTTAAAATATCTCCTCTGCTTCTTCCAGAATGAACAGTGAATAAATCTGTCTGGCCTGAATGAGCCTCCCAAGGATTCTCAATCTAAGCCATCCAAAAAGGAATTTGTAAGATTTTTTTAAAAAGCTAAATAAAAACTAAGAATAATAAATAAAGGACATTATTCACTGAAAAGTATAATCACTTTAATAAAATTAATTTTTAAAAAATAAAAAGGATTGAGTCCTAGAAAGTTTCTTTTACCATTCAGTTATCTGAATACTGGAGTCAGATAGGTTCAGTGTGGGTCATTTACAGACGAGAAAACAGTATCCTGAAAGAGCCAAAAGGACCTTTCTCAAAGATGCACAGCTTTTTGGTGGCACCAGGACCAAAATTCCTTATCTCTCAGGCAGCCCACACACACACACGGACTACCTACAGGGTGATGGTATACAAAAGCTCTTTAGAATGGCTCCAATTTTTGTTCATAGATCATTAACTAATTGAGGAAGGGGTAGAGAAGGAACTAAGAAAATTAGAGTTAATTTGGCATGAATCTTGGCTAATTGCAAATCCATCAAAAATGAGGATAAAGCACCTCTGAAATTCTCATGTAAGTCAATGAGAAAATTAGATTAGATTTGTTTGAATTAAACTTTGACAATTCTTGTAAATACAGTATCTGTGCTGTAACACAGGAAGCATGCTTATAATGTCTGTAAATGATCCCAAGGACTCCGTCCATCTATTCCACACTAAACCTACCGTGATTGGCAAGAAAGAGCAGAAATTGTTAACATTCAAAATCCAACATTGTAAAACCTCAAAACTTATAAACACTTAGCACAAACAGTGGCTTCATGTCTACAAATGAAATAATATAAAGAAAGAAAATGCACTAAGAGAAAGTAACACAAGCTAACTCAAAGTAGTTTATACATTAAAAACCTGTGTTTAAAGAGTTTTGACAATCAAATTATTTCTCAACATGGGCCAGAACATAACACACACATACAGAACATCTATATCATGGGAACCATTTAAAAATTCCATCAGTGGATCCAGTAAATCCACTGTGTGTAGTGACTCATCATCACAAAACGTTGTAACTAGAATAGCTTTGCTTTCCCAGGACACAGCAATGACCCCAGCATGCTGCAAGGGCCCAGGTGCCTGTCTACGTCTGTATCATTCAAGCACTGATGTACTTTCTTGGCTTCCAGTTGTTCACATTGGTAATATCTCAACACAAGAGCTGCACTAGCAAGAACACTTTATACGCTAATGATCACAGACAACACATTCCATTTTCAGTGACCTGCTTGACAGATCTTACATAAGGTCAAAGTCACATTCACAAATAGAGTCCTCTCATTTTAAACACCAGAAAAACTGAGATGTTTACAGTTTTCCCAAAGGCTATTACAACTTATTTATGCAAATCTAGGCCAGGAACATGGGTCTCCTGGCTCCTTATCAGCTGCTGTTTCCACTACATCAAGCTAGGTCCTCTGTGAGTTATCCCCCACTATAGGATAGAATCTCTTTATCTTCCAAATCCAATTCAAATAACCTACATTTTAACTCACCCATAATTACTAAATTGGACCCGAAGTTTAAAAGCAACTGCTTCTTCTATTTCAGTGGAAAGTTTGGCTCAATGACTGTAAATGTCTTACAGCATTGTACAAAATGCCAATCTTCTCACAATTTTTTTTAACCCTTCTGGTCTGTCTCTAACACACATTTTCAATTCTGTGTCGCATGAGAGGAAAGCCTGCCATCTGCAGCAGAAAAATGTTTCACCAAACCAAACCTTTTGTCTCTCACCCTAAATTTACATATAATAAAAGTAGCGCCAGCATCCCACAGTAGTGTTACTGAGTGACCCCTCAAACCATTCTTGCTACTGTGTCCTTTGCACAAACAGCATCTTGTTTAACAAGACTCTTGTACATGGGTTTTACACTCTGCCCCATCTTTCAAAGTGGCTACCATGAACTTCATTCAACAGGTGAGCAAAGTCAGAAAGCAGAGATTCTCAGTAATCAGGCAAACTCAGACAGACAGCAAATACAAAGGTCAACACCGGAGTCCTCCATGATGAAATGTCCCTAAATACTATCAGAAAGGAATAGCTCCCACCTTCTAGCAGAGGGTAGATTTCTCAGGTCCTGTTCTTTTCAGATGTCTAAAGTGAAGGACATCAATGGAAGATATTGGCAGCTTTAATAAGAATATTACTTCAATCACATACAGTGGAGTCTACAAACTCCACTTCCAAACCCTGGCTCTGAGATCCCACATTTCCTCAGCCATGAATTCTCAGCAAGCAAGCCAAGTTTTCCTGCACATTTCCTGTTTTAGAAGCTAGTCTGTATACACACTGGCCACTCATATAAACAATAATTTCCCTAAGTACAAAATAAACTTCTTAATAGTAGTGTGTTGGGTTGTTGGATTAAATGAATTAAAATATGCAAAACCCTTGAACAGTGTCACAGAGTAAACTTTCTATCAATATTAGCTACTACTGTTAGTCTAATCATCACTAGCTTTACCAAACTAGCAAGCC